GGCAGACAGTTGTTTCAAAGCCAAGGAGGTGGAAAGGAGCAGGCAAAGTGCAGAAAGAGAATTATGCTAGGGTAAGTCATTTTTCTTCTTAAAATGTTGGCAGAAGAAATGTTTATAAGGAGTGGAAGGGAGGGGGTGGCCAATGGAGGTATTCAATTATAATGAACTATTGGAAGGTCTTTATTGATTACCCTGAGGGGGCTGATTTGTACCTATGCAGTTATTAATGAAAATTATACTCAGGAAATGTTTGCATTTCCTTATTATTTCCACCATCTTGTCATAGATTCATAGTACAGTAAAGCGGAAAGGAATCTAGAGAGCAATTGAACGCAACCCCTTATTTTTATACAAGATGAAGACGAGGGTCCAGGGAAGTTAGGTAACAGCAGTAACAGATACCACTAAGTCGAGTGCTTCCCATGTGTGCAATTCTACTTTCTAGCCCTTACGTAAACCCTGCTAGGAAAGCAGTGGTATCCGTTTTACAGATGAGAAAACAGAGGCCCAGAGGCTAAGTCACTTGCACAAAGCCACACAACAAGCAAATGCCACGTAAGGGACTTGAAACCAGTATACCTGACTCCAAAGCTTACTTTCTGTCTGTGTCTCTAAAAGAGAAAGAAAATTCAGGAGGCCCTCGGACTGACAGCTGGTGACAGGCCTGTGGCTAGAGCTCCAGCCTCTTAACTCCCCACACAGGGCTTTTTCTCCTTTCCCATCAGAGGCCCAGGGTTTTTCGTTTTAGCCTCTGGCTTGTGGGCTGGCCCTCTCTCGCATATGCTATTCCTAGAATTAATGATTACATCGGGGCCCTCAGCCCACAGTGGTCAGGATTCCCAGACTTTAGCATCTGCCACCATTTGGCCAGAATTCACATATAGAAAGTTATTTCCTTTTTTAGCCAGTAAGTGCTCTTGGCTGCGGCAGTGTCTACTGCCGGGCTCTCGCTGGCCAAACAGCAGGCTCTGGTGTTCCATTGATGTCAGATCATAACAAGAGCGAAGGAAACAGAAACAGGGAGCTGATGGGGCTCACGGTTCCTAAGAAATAGCGGGATTAGAACTCGGCCTCCATCACGCTCCAGCTGTGTGACCTTAGGCAAGTCACTTAACCTCTACGTTTCCTCCTCATTTGAAAAAAAGGGAATGTTTACTCATGGCGATTAAACAATATGTGGATACGTGGAGTCACCTAGAACAGTATCTGGCACGTCTTACACACTCGATAACATTAGTGTGTTTCCCTTTTCTGACATTTCCAGTAAAAACGCCTCTCAAGTATGATCCAACTGGCTGCAGAATTGAAAGTACAGCAGGCTGGTGGGAGGGACATAGCAAGGACCCCCACGTGGCACCAGGCGGGGGAGGGTGACTGTCAGACGTGGAGAAAACATGGGCAATAAGAAGGATCTTAATGTAACTGTAAATTGGTTATTTCACCAGGCAAGAACTAACTGGGGTGAAGAGAAAGGGAGGTGCAGGGCTCCGCTCAGACAAGGCCCCTCTTGTGCCTGTGATTGGTCCAGGCTGCCTCCAAACTTTTAACTCAAGCTTTTGAGTCTGGAGACCACTCCATATGAGTCCATGTTGTAAAATGCATGATTCCTTCCTTCTGAGAAGGGGCAGCAGTTTCAAATCTAGTCACCAATCTGAAGGTGTGCCCACAACGGCAGGTTTGAAACTGGCTCAGTTCTACTTGGAAGAGAAATGGGAGGTTGTCTGCTCCCCGATCTGAGAGGAAGGGGCGTCCCGACCTCTAAGCACATCTGCCCTCTCTGAATCATGAAGTTCTGAATCGTGAAGAGGCCAGGTTCAATGAAGATTCTAGACTCTTCTGTGACCAAGAGCCTCATAAGAGAGACTCATTCCGGTTCCAGTTCTTTCTTTGTACCTTGAGACAAGATCCAACTTGCACCTCGGTTCACCTGTGTGTCACACCACGTGCTTGAACCGGAGGGTTGCTTAGGCCCTTCTAGCTCTAAGTCAGAACATCTGGGGGCTTTGTGACATCCCCAATTGTGACAGTAGGGCAAGTTAGTGGCAAAGCCAAGAGGCAGATAGAGATTTTCTGACTCTCAGCTTAGAGGTCGGCCAAAGTAGTCCCAGAAAAAAAATCTGCCGTCATAGAAACCCAGCAGCGCCTTCTCAGAATTACTTGTCAGAGCGAACCTTCACGGTGGAAAGGCCTTTGCATCCAATGAGATGCAATTCAAAGAGAAGCGGGCTGAGGACCGGGTGGCCTGGATTCGCCCTATTTTTCTATTGTTCATTGAGCACTTAGCATGGGATCGCCATTTTCAGTACGTTATTTTATTGAATCCTCACAAAACCTTACAAGGAAGGTATTTACTAACCCCTTTGGCAGACAAAGAAACTGAGGCTCAGAGACAGTAAATGAGTCACCGAGGGTCGCACAGTTGAAATTCTAACTCATGTGAGTAAATGCCCAGGTTCTCCCTCTGTCCTCCCCCTGAACACCCGCTCCGAGGGCCCTCTGCTAACGTCATACCTTTGATTCTGAGGCCTCCTGACGCCCTTTCCTTATGCAGGTGAATGGAGTGTTGAAGGCTAAAGTTTTCTTGCCCATAAGTTGCTAATATGTCAGAAACAACTGATTCTCAAAGTGGTTTCAGGCAATCGCTTGCCAGGCACCAGCCACTTCTGACTATAGAAAGGAAGTCAGCATGTTTTCTGGGAGCTCCAAGCCTTTCCGAAAAAAAATGGGCATCTCTCCCCTTCGGTCAGCTCAATCCTTGAGCCTAAGAGGAGGCCAGTTCCCACAGAGAGCTGCCGGGATCTCCTTGGGACAGAGGACAGAGCCTGGCCTGGGGTCTCGTTGGTCCCGAGGGCTGCAGGTCTTCTAGGTCCTGTCCTGCAACACACAGGCTCCCTGTCCTGTTTTAATTGGCTGGGCCCAGAGGTGGCATCAGCCAGGATCTGAGAGGCCAGGCTGCACGATGGCAGCCCCGCTGGCTGCCAGAACCCAGAACTTTGCACTCCAGCCAGCGGAGATGATGAAGAATGGCCGGAGGGTGTCACTTACAGAAACTCGGACTGGAGAGATGCTAAGTGGAAGACGCAGGAAGGCTTAGGGAGAGACAGAGGCTCAGAACCAGAGCCAAGGATGGAAGTCGGAGGAGCCCTAGGCAGGAGTGAGCAGAGCGACTGAACTGACCCTGGCGCCGTGTCAACTCCAATAAGTCACTTCCCTTTTCTAGGCTTTGTTGTATGCAATTCTTTGTCAAGGAAGAGACTGACTGGCAATCTGAGAGACCTCTTCAGTTCTGATGGCCTAGGACTTCCGGCCAGGACCAGGAGGGGCGACCGAAGTGAGGTAGCCAGGAGATAAGAATGAGGACCAGTTTCAGAGCCCAGCGGAACCACCTGGGCAGCCAAGCAGCCAAGCAGGGCAGCAGGACTGTGCTACCCCGTGGCTCCCTGGAACTCACGTGTCTGGGTGAGGGGATGCCCAGCGGGTGCCCGGTTGGAAACCAGGGGACACGCCTCCGGGTGTTCTCTGCTCTGCATGCTGTGGTCACTGGGACTGCTCCTTGGCAGCTGGAGAGAGGAAAAAGCTTGGAGGGACAGCCAGGGGAGCGGGCTCCAGCAGCTCTGCCGCCCTGGGGAACCTGGCAGGAAGGTGGAAAGGTCAGAGCTTTCCCTAGAGAGCAGTGAATCAGGGTCTGGGCTGGGCTGGGACTCCGGGGGCATTGGGTGGAAGAGATGGACACCGTTTGGCCTGCTGATGTAAAAGTCAGGCTGGGACGCCTCTAAATACCAGCTCATGCCCCCGCCGTGAGCTACCCCACCAGGCAAGTAGAAGTGCTGCAGCTCCACACGCTGGCCTTGGCCTCTTCTCTGTTCAGTTCTGCTGGGTCCCTCCCAGGTCTCCTGGCTGCACACCCAGAGCCCCTCGCACTGCCCTTCCTTCCTCGGGCCAGTCGGACCCAGTGCGCCAGAGCCTCGTCCAGGAAACAGCCCAGTGAGATGCTGAGGGGTAAGAACCAGCGGTCCCTCCGTTATGAGATACCGGGAGCGGCAATAAAGGAAAAACGGAACAAAAGCACAGCCAGGATGTAGAAGCCTTGTGTCAAGCTTCCCTTTTTCAGTGATTCTGAGCTGCGTTTGAGCCTAAGGAATCATAGCCCCGTACAAGGTTACTGCTGCATAAAACCAAAGGGATCCTTTCACTTCAAATCCCTGTTAACTGAGGCCCAGATGAGGGGAGTGTCCCGCCCAAGGTCACACAGCCACTGAGTGCCCAGAACCCAAGTCTCCCAGCCCCTGCAGCCGGGTTCTTTCACCACAAGCTCAGAAGAGCGGCCAAGGAGCTGACAGCAACCGTTGTGCCCTGCGGCCTTCGCCTGCACCCAGGAGGAAAAGAGGCGCGCAGTGGGCCCTCTCCTGGCTCCATCTCCGGGTCTCAGCAGCCTGTTTCCCCGACAGGACAGCGAGTGGCAGGGCCAGATCACTCACCATGCACAGTGGGGACATGATACTCTGCAGGAAACTAAGTAGAGAATATTTTTAAACCATCCAACATGCCTTAGAGAGAAAAAAAAAATCAAAACACTCCCCTAGATGTTGCGGAAAGCATTTCAAAAAAGATTCCAAGCCTAGAGGAAGCATCGTAAAACAGTGATGGGTTTTTAAAGGGCCAATTCCAGCTTAACAAAAGTGCTTGGAAATGACTGGGGACCCCTGGTAAGACACCTCTGGAAGCACTGCAACTCTGCAGGGGTGAACTAACTCCTGGGACCCTCTACTCACCTTTCTACAGCTCCTTGTAAACCAAGTAAGTAATTTATTGCGGCTTCATAAACCAGCCTCCTTAATCTGTCCAAACCACATCAGAGGGGACACTGAGAGGGCGAGGGAATAAACCCACAGGTACAGAGAAAGCTCTGCTGTTACCCAGCCTGGGACTCCAGGCTCTCCCCTCTGGCCCCTTCCCACCCACTGGTAGTTTTATCTCTTAGAGTTCAAGTCCACCCTTACCGTCTTCTCTTCCTCCTCTCTGGAATCTCCGTTGCCGTCTTCGTCCTCTGGCCGCCCCTTCTCCGACTGCCCACTGTCCCTCGCTCTTCAGCCTGTCAGTTGTTCCTCTTCCACCCTCTTTTTAATCGGTATCTGTCACCCTCCCTCCTCCCACTTCTTCCTACTCTCTCTCTCCACCCCCTTCTCCCTCTGGGTCCCTCCCTCCTCTCTCTCTTTTGTCCTCTTAGACTCTTTGCTCATTTAAAAACTCTTCTTCCCTCTACCTCCTTGCAGCCTCTCCTCACCACCGTTCTCCCCAGAAGGAGACAGGGCCCTCCTCCTCCCCCGCTGCCCTCCCGCTGTCACTGTGGCCACAGCCCTTGCGCTCACCCTGGCTGGTGGCGCCTGTCCACCCCTCTGCTGAGCCTCCTCAGGCTGCTCAGGCCAGGGCGGGAAAACTGGCACTGCCCAAGAGATTTCCCTTCCCCATCCTTTTCCTATTGTCAGGTAAAAGGGTGCTCCACCATGGGGCAGGTCTTTCTGGGACTTTTGCTATGTCCACGTCAGCGAGCTGAGCACCAGCTGGCATGGGAAATGTGGTCTCACAAATCACAACCACCAGCACCCAGAATAGACACCAGGGGTCACTTGACAACCCCAAAGCACAAGGAGGGGCAGCCTCACCACTCGGATCAGATTTTCTCCTCCTCCACTGACGAGAAAAGAGTACGGTCTAGTGCTAGAGCATATATATATATAAATTTTTCTTTTTCTTAAATCATCCCAATTTCCAGTTCTACAAGGTAGACGTTTTCACAGTTCACATTTGAGGAAACGGAGGTTCAGAGACATCAAGTAACATGATCGTGGTGACCCAGTTAGTGAAGGGTAGAGTCAGGATTAGAAGGTTTAGCCAATGCCCAAATTCACCTCTTTGCTCTTTCCACAAAAGCACACCGGTCTCCCAGCTGGAATTGACCCAATGGGAGTATGGCTGTCTCTTCTTAGATCACTGTCACTGGTGAACAGATTCACAAACTGAGGCATCTCTCCTCTCCAGCTCCCCTCATTCTCACCTACTTTCCTCACCTCAGCTGAAGCACTTTAGCTGGACCCACGGGAGTGTGATAAATAGCAACGACAGGATGAGTGGATGGGAACCAGACAAGCCAATGACCAAGAGTCCACCAATTGTGAGAGCTAGAAGAAAACCCCAGAGATCATCTGGGATAAAGCAGGGAAACTGAGGCCCAGAGAGTCAAGGCCACTTGTCAACGTCACTCACAATAAAGTGAGTGGCAGAGGCAGGACCAAGACCCAGACCCATTCCTTGGTTCCACCTTCACACACCGCACCATATACAAACATGCCAACATTTTGCAAAACTGTTTGTGTATTTGGTGGGCAGTATTTTTCAGGGGTGAATAAGCTTAGGATCAGCAAGAGAGGAAAGAACACAGATTCCTGTGTCCAGGGAGGCAATAGCCCTGTTGAAAACAAGCCCAGGATTCTCAATTTCTTAGCCAGTTTCCCCCTTTTTTCCTGGGTAGCATCGGAGCAGATTCTGGGGTCAGCCCATCTGGGTTTGAATCCTGGCTCTACCACTTACTAGCGAGATGACACTGAGCAAGGTAACCTCTATGCATCTCAGTGTCCTCAACTGTAAATTGGGGATAATAATAACTACCTCCTAGGGTTGTTATGAGGACTAATGAGTGTATGTAAAGCATTTAGAACAATGTCTGATACATGGTAAGTGCTATGGATGTGACTGCAAAATACAGTACAATACAGTACAACACAACACAATATAACACAATACAATACAATATAATACAATACAATACATATTTTCTCCTGCCTGTACCTACCCTGGCTGGACCAGACTCCTGGGAAGAATTCAGCAGCATATGAAACCATAGAAAGCCCTGGGTGATACCCAGTTTCTTCTGCAAAACAGAGATTGGCCCCAGCTTAGCTTTGTTCTTACATCTCAGCCACTCCCCCAAAAGCTGTAGAAACGCCTTATTATTGCCAGCCAGGAGATGGCCAGTTAGAGAACCCCTGAGTCTCAGTTGAAGGATAATCTGACAGTGGGGAAGGTTTCGTGGAGTATTAATTCCTAGACCATTGGCCACCAAGGGAGAGCCTAGCTGGGGACAGGGCTGGGGGTTAAGGGAGTGAGCCATTTTCCTCTGAATGCCCAGGAGGAAAGAATTGCTGAAATGTAGGCACACCTGTGATCCTGGAGAGAGCACGGGGCACAGAAGGTAAATTCTCCCACCCTGTTTGGCAGGTAGAGGAATAAAGTAGTGGGGTTGCTGTAGGTGATCCAGGAAGTCAGAATCAGGGCTGAGAGAGATGGTGACCTTGAACTCAGACCATCCCAACTCAACGAGTTCCAGCATCTCCCCAGCCAGGCATTCCACTCCAGATGGCATCTAGGACAGAGTGTATTTTGATGGCCCAAAGCTAAGCTGGTGGCAAGGTCTTCAGAAATCTGCTTTAGTCCTCACCTGGGTCCCTCGCAGGCTTAGGTAAGTTTCTGATGAAATTAAAGAAAGTGTCCTCTGGACTACGGATCCAGAGTGACTGTCTAAAGGGGCTGAATCTGGCTGTCATGACATACATAAGGACACCACGAGCAGATGCCCAGTGCCCCAGAAAAGGAGGTGGAGGATAAGGGCCAAGGTGGGAAATAAGGCTCTGTCAAGCCCTCCCCTGCATCCTCACGTTCAGCTTAAGAAAGGGTCTTAAGAAGAGGTGTTGAAGTCTGTTGAAGTCTGTGTTCCATGCATTAAAAAATATGGAGACGCAGAGAGGATTTGGAGAGGGAGCCAAAATCTGATCAAAGAATTGGTAAATCTTATCCATGAGGAAAGATCGCAGAAGCGGGATGTTACTCAGCATGTATTACTGTGTGCCAGGCTTTGAAGGAAGCATACTGCACATTCTTTTACCTGGAGATGAAAAGACAGGAAGATGACCTTCTAAAGGTCATCTGAAGCATCCATCAGGGTCTCCTGGACAAGGATTCATTAGTCACTCCTGTGGGCCCAGACTATCCTCCGTGGGAGATAAGGGCTGTCTCTTGTCCATAGGAAGCTGACATTTTGGTTGCAGAAGAGAGCTATTTAAACAAAATAATTACTATAAATGGCAGTATTCTATATGTAGTTGTCCTCAACACATAGTGATATAAGAGTGTTAAATTATGTGAGAAAAAGAGTCACTTGGAAAACAGGTTCATGTAGAGTGATCTCTCTGTTGTGCTACAATGAAGGGGGAAGGGACAGGCACATTTCATTGAAGGACTTCTACGGACCAGGCATTTCCACCTCATAACACTGCGAGATAGATACTGTGATAGTTCCATTCTACAGAGAAGAAAATTCAGACTCAGAGAACTTTAGCAACTTGCCCAAGATTATTCAGTTAATAAATGGAGACAAGGTCTACCTGATGTCAAAGGTCAGGCGCTTTCTCCCCCTGGCTGTAGAGGAAATTCTCCTGAAACCCATTGACCTGGTCAGCGAGGAGGGTACCAGGCTCTGCAGGTGGGAGCAAACAGGCGGCAAGAAGGGTGGAGTCCAACCCCAGCAGGAGACAATGAGTTTGGCCATGCCTATGAAGGTGGGGCTGCACTGTATGAGATTTCCAGGAAGAGACATAATCACCTTTTCTACAACTCTTCTGAAAGTGGCCATTTTGAAAATCGCTTCTCCTTAGAGGCATGAGGGCAAACGAGGAAGCATCCCAATGTTTCCTCTCCCCAGTGAATCTCTAACTCAGCCACTATCCTTCCCAAGACACTGGTCCAGATGTTTAAAGGGCCTTCTCCCTCAGAGCCTACAATGGTTAACACATGCAAATAAGTTCTGCCAGCATCTAATTGTGAGAGCAATGAGTCCCCTGTGCCTCTTTGGAGGGCATCGGTGGGTAATTGGAGCCATGATTAGTGGGCTGAGGTCACACTTTCCTGCTGGTGGAGATGCAGACACCACAGGCATAAGCCGTCCCCTTTAAGACTTACTTTCCGGATAAAGGCTAAAATGGGCAAGAGCACCCTGTTCCAAGAAGCAGAAAGAAAAGCAAACAAACAGACAGACAGACAGACTTCCCTGCCTCTGGTGCTTTGGTCTATGAATCTACTCTCAACGCATCTCAAGTGTTAATCCTAAAGAAAAGGTCAAAGTCACATCCATACGTCTGCTTGGGAGTAAGGCAGAAGTGATCTTTGGGGATTGCAAACTGAAGAACTCTTTCCTGGTGGGCTCGGGCCAGCGGCCTTCATGGATGTGAGACAAAGAGGAGGAGGAGAAGGAATCCAGGGTCCGCCAAACCCGATTCTCTCTCAGCAAAGTCAAGATATGAAGGAACAGAGGGAGGCAGCCTCATTAGAGATCTGCGAGTCCCAAGTCCAGGGGTTTCACCCTAAGACAAACATTGGGACTTTTCCCTGGAGACCTTGGGATGGTACTTGCCCCCTAGGTCTAGAGGGAAGTCCTAGGAAGCAAGAAGACTGGGTGCCTTATGATAATTTGGTTCAGTTATAAGCAATGTCTAAGGTTTGCAGTGCATACTTGCAGCCTACCTCTTCCTCCTCTAACAAATCCTCGGTCCAGCCCCACCTAACCACCTCACAAAGACTAAAAAGGGTTTGCTTCTCCTTTATTTTGAAAGGTGTTTTCAGTCAAGTCCCAGGTATGGTTCTATTGGTAAAAATAATAAAATACAAGGTCAAGAAGTTTTCTGTCAAATACGCTAGTCACTCAGGTGCCCTCAGACAAGTGACTCCGAAACAAAGGCATTTTCTTGCCTGTAAAATAGAGACCAATCCCCGGAGCCTGACTTGACAATGTCGCCGGTGATGGTCAAAACCTAATTCAAGAACAAAGGTTTTACACTTCCTCCCAAATTGCTGTCTAGATTCAATTTTAGCTCCTGGGGTCAAATTATTACAGAGGATTAGAGGCATTTCGGAGATGAAGACTATTCCCTATTTTTTCAAGATTGGTCTCACATTCAGTCAGCTAAGTACTCGAGACAGAATGGACAGGACGAGGAGCTGAAAGCCTGTGGTTAAGAGTGCTTGGGTTCAGATGTGGGCTCCACAGCTCGGCAGCTGTGTGACCCTCCTTTGTCACATGGGGGCCCATTTGGAACCCCAGAGTTGGTATGCAGATTAT